AACCTACCAATTTGTTACACAAAGTTTTAAAATATATTTAACGCTAAAAAAATTTGATTACTGTATTTGATTTATACATTTCTAACCAATGTGCTATTATGATCGTATAGCGAATGTAAGCATATGAAATATAGACGTATTTGTGTTTGATATTTATTTATTACTAAAGCGGTTGTTAATTTAGGTTCTGAAGATAACGAAGAATCGTCGACCACGTTTACAAGTCACGAAAGTGTTCGAGAGATGTCTGATACAGAAGAATTCGGTATTATTTTATTCGTTTTGTAGTCAAATAATGAATTTTCGCAGAAGATCGTATCTGTTATATTATTTCTTACAAACTTCACTTTTTAGTAGAACCAAGTAATCCTGTGGTGCTAATTTCGGCACCTACGCAACCAATTGACTTTCAAAATCGTGAACATACACAAAGACAATGTAGTATTTGTCATAGAAAGGGGCATAATTCCCGAACTTGTCAAAATAAGATTTAGATTAATAAAAAAACTTCGACAGTGGGGCCAGTGAAAATCGTCCCAACTTTGACATTTCTTTTGTTTTTTTTTTGTTTTTTTTTAAATAATTTTGACAGTTGGTTTGAATTTGGCGAATGCAATAATTTAAGGAAAGTAATAACAATTTATGTATTCACTTATCGGTTTCTCAAAAATATATGTACGTTTTTAGCTTTTCATTGCTTTATTATGGCAGCGACAAACAACATTATGATAACATTGGCTGGATTTTTAGGTATGGCAATATTGCGCAAGTTCTAATTCGTTACACTATATTTGGACTATAAGACATGCAAAAAAAAAAAAAAACAAAAAAAAACTGCATGTAAATCTAGGAATATTGCAGCTTATAGCCCAAATTTTCCACCAATGAAATCGCGAAAAAAACGATTAAAAAAGAGTTACCAGCTATAGTAAATGTTATTTGTTTATTTGAAGGCTGCCGTTCATTAATACCGTCCTAATCATTTCTTTAATTCTAGATGTCATAATAATTTATCTTTGTAATTGCAAAATATTTTTCATGGTAGTTTTAAATAAATAAAGGCTTTATTTAGAAGTGTATACAACTTTATCAATGTAATCTTCGATAATGGCGCGTGTGAATAGTCGAAAATTCTGGTTTATACTTTTCTAATTAGCTTTTTCGTACTACATAGTTGGTTAGACAAAACCCCAAGTTTTTATCATTGATGAAGACGATACTGATTGTTAATCCATTGCATAGCAAATTTATCTTCGACGAATGATTAAACCTAATGAAGAATAAAACAAACCGCTAAAAAAAGGTTTTTTGGTTTCGTTTTGTCATGCGATAAGGGTTTCCTCTAACTATTCTCGGTTAGTATTTCCATTACGAATTTGTACCATTACTTATTTACTATTTTTATTTGTTCGTGTCGATGTAACTGATGTATTCAAATCATTTAATTCTATTTTAATCACTTTTAGTGAATGTATATAAGGAATATTTATTAATTGATGTATTTTGAAGCATTCTAATCAAGCCCATGGTTATTTATTGTCACGGTCAGCATCGGTTCTACTGCGAAATTGATCCGGGACTTATGCAACAGGACCTACGGTATTGTCAAGCGGCGTGATTTGGGATAGTTTAATGCGTGTAACCATGATCGATCAAGACGCATAAGAAATATGAGATTAAAGAAAAGATAAGTATCGGATGACTGATTAATTATGTAATCGAAGTAAAAGATTGTATCGTATGATTAATTGTGATGTAATTAATCTAGAGTCGAATTTTAAGTATATAAGGAATCCTTTTTTTCGCTTAAAAGGACGTAGCTAACAGAACTAAGAAAAAACTACAAAATGGATGGTTACGACTCTTATGTGTGTGGCAGGGGCACATAAGGAAACACTTAATAATACACTATCCGGCGAAGAAGCGAAGGGAAGAAAGTCGAATAGGGATAAGCAAAGTAAAGAATAGAAGAAGGAAGAAAAAATCAAATACGAAAGGAATACTTCCTGTCAAAACGTCCAAACGTCGCATTAGGTGGAAGGTCAAAGAATTCCGGCGATTTTGAATCATCCCCATTAGTGGTCGAGTAGTGCGCCACGGAAGAACCTGGGTAAGATCGCGATTATTTACTAGCACAGATAAAAAAAAAATAAAAGAGGCTTTTGAATATTATAACGGCATCAGTACGAAGAGAGAGATATTCAGAAGGCAAAGTACTGGTTCATAAAATTTAGAAGCCTTTTGAAAACTAATAAACCACCCGATAATATCAGTAGAAGAAAAGAAGAATTTGCAACCATAGATTATGCACGTTAGAGTGATAATATTAATGATAGAATTATGAGCATTGCACTTAAAGTAATTAATGGTTCAAACGAAAACTGGCAAGAATTTATTCAAGAATTGAAGAATCACTGTTAAATCGATTATGCAATAGACGGCTAAACCTGGTACAAGTAGCCTGACAGAATGAAAGGATAAATTTAGTATATTGCACTGTATGATTATAGAGCTCGAGTCGATTCATTTGTAGAGACTTGTTCATAGAGATTTGGATGGGTTGATTAGACACTCAAGCATCAGATATATACAGTCTTGGAGTTATCGCTACAGAGATTCCGAGCAAACAAGGAGCGTTTGATGGAATCACACCTAATAGTGAACCGGTGTTAAAATTATCGGTAGATCAAGAACGAGGCGAGAAAGGTGTCAAAGATGAAAAGATACGATCATCAAAAATCAGCAAAACAGATGATGCTGATGGCACTTATATGGTTGGTCATTGTGATAAAAACGTAAAAGAGCCGAAAGGTATGGGTGTGGACAATGATGAAGAAACGGCATTTGAGTAGAACAAGAAATCTGCCAATATGGGCGATGTTAGAGATGTCCGTGTATTAAGGAGTCGACAGTAGAAGTCCTTGGCACTGGTCTTGAGTTGATATGAAGGACATACTAAGCAGACGTAATAGGTAAAGTTGGTTTTCATCATAGCATCAAAAAAAAAAAAAAAAACGTTAAAGATCCCGTAAGTCGCTGAAATACCCTGGTACTGGGGCGTGAATAAGTACCGTGCAGGGCAGTAATAAAGAAACGTTAGAAATCCCGTAAGTCGCTGAAATACCCTGGTACTGGGGCGTGAATAAGTACCGTGCAGGGCAACAACAAAAAAAAAAAAACCCCCCCGCTAGTTATACTAAAGGAATTCAAAGTATTTCAAATAAATATCTTACCAGAAGCCATAAATGGTAGGCAATAGCGTCGGTGGAAGAACTTGTACGATACTCCAGTCCAAGTGATAATGGCGAAGTTTAAAGACGAAAAAAAGGCTTTTGAATATTATATGAGAGCAGCTGAGTTAGGAAATCCTGCAAGGAATGGTGTTGGTATTTGTTATGAATATGGACGTGGTATTGATCAAGATTCTAATAAAGCATTAGAATACTATGAAAAATCCGCTAATATGGGTGTTAAAGGTGTAATGTATAATGTTGCTCTATGTTATCGAGACGGTATCGGTGCAATGAAAAATATCCAAAATGCAAATTAGTGGTTCAGAAAATTTAGAAGCCCTTTGAAAATTAACAAATCACCAGATCACATCAATCCTGAACTCAAGAGAATATTAGACGATGAGAGGTTTAAATTATCTTGGATTGAGTATAATGAGACCACTATTATTCGGGAACTGGGAAAAGGAGGATTTGCAACGGTATGTTATGCACGTTGGTTCGATAGAATCAATAGTGCATGGGTAAATAATGCACTTAAAGTGATCCGTGATTCAAGCGAAAATGAGCAAGAATTTATCCAGGAATTGAAAAATCACGGTGAAATTGGGTACATGAATACTTCGTTCTTAGGATGCAAGGCAGTATCAATAAATAATTATGGTGACTATCTTATTGTTATGGATTATGCAACAAAAGCTTCGGATCTTGAGTCGATTCATTCGCAGGAACTCATTCATAGAGATTTGCACAGCGGAAATATTTTACAAAGAGGAGGTAATTTGCATAACGCATATATTACTGATCTTGGACTTTCCAGAAAAGTAAAGGATGGAAAAATTTGTGGAATTCTTCCGTATATAGCACCTGAGATTTTGGTGGGTCAACTGTATACTCAGACATCAGATATTTATGGTTTTGGAGTTATCGCGACAGAGATTTTGACCAGACAAAAGGCATTTGATAGAATTCCGTTTAATGATGATCTTGTATCAAGAATTGTCGGTGGATCAAGACCAAAATGTTTAGGACCAGATTGTTATAAAATTAGCTTTTAAATGTATGGATAAAGATTTTGATAAACGACCTACTGCAAAAGAAATTATTGAAATAATCACTCGATGGTTAGATGAGACGGATCAGGATGATAATGAAATCAAAAACCAAAATTTGGAAGCTAATAAGAAATGACCAGAAGTTAAGAGGATACCAAATGACGAGAGATTCAAATTATCTTGGATTGATTATAGCGAATTCAGAAAATAGGAAACGGAGGATTTGTTAGTGCAACGTGGTATAACGAAATTAGTAATAGATAAAAGGAAGTTGCACCTAAGGTGATTCGTGATTCATGATTCGGACAAGAATGTGCAAGAATCAACGTTTGGGTAATTCGAATGGAACTTACGGCTAAAGACCTACGCGATTCAGGGGGGATCTGGCTCAGAAGAGAGCAGTGGATAGTTAAGTGATGAAAAGCTAGATATTAATGGTACCAATTTTCGAGTGTAGAACCGATTGGGGAGTTGTTGACTACGAGGACGTTAGTCAAGCGAGGTCTAGCTGCTGTCACGGTCAGCATCGGTTCTACTGCGAAATTGATCCGGGACTTACGCAACAGGACCTACGGTATTGTCAAGCGGCGTGATTCGGGATAGTTTAATGCGTGTAACCATGATCGATCAAGACGCATAAGAAATATGAGATTAAAGAAAAGATAAGTATCGGATGACTGATTAATTATGTAATCGAAGTAAAAGATTGTATCGTATGATTAATTGTGATGTAATTAATCTAGAGTCGAATTTTAAGTATATAAGGAATCCTTTTTTTCGCTTAAAAGGACGTAACTAACAGAACTAAGAAAAAACTACAAAATGGATGGTTACGACTCTTATGTGCGTGGCAGGGGCACGTAAGGAAACACTTAATAATACACTATCCGGCGAAGAAGTGAAGGGAAGAAAGTCGAGTAGGGATAAAGAATAGAAGAAGGAAGAAAAAATCAAATACGAAAGGAATACTTTCTGGCAAAACGTCCAAACGTCGCATTAAGTGGAAGGACAAAGAATTTTGGCGATTTTGAATCATCCCCATTAGTGTCGCCACATTTATCATTTCTATTTTATTTCTTCAAGTCAATTAATTGACGTATTTAAGGGAAGTTATTTAAGTTCATGAATATTACTATTATACAATTCTCTCATTTGATTCTTTTAATTACTTTTTTTTCACTTTTAATCTATGAGATAAGGAACATTTAT